ACTGTAAATAAGGAAAACGAAAGGCACAGCCGTGAGGTTTTATTCGAGAGAAAGGAAGGACATACACGGAGTGGAATAATAGTGGCAGCAGGCTACTATTACTAATATTGATTTATACACGTCTGTACCTCTGTTGGATTACGCATAAGACCACTCGTTCTGCGTAACAAAATTACCTAGAAAATGGAACAGGCAGGAGGCGGGTGAGGGGTGGGGTGCGGAGGCCAGTTAGTCAGATGGCAGAGACAACAGATCCAGGAGGAGCTAAACACCCGTTGGGCTGGGGAAGACTTCAACGGTACCATACCAGACGGTGAGAAGCGTGTAAAGTCAGGCAGAGAAAAGAGTGGAAATAGACAAGTGGAAGCGGGGAAGCAGTAGCGTGGAAATTGGTCCTCAAGAATTGGCAGAAACGTCAAAAAATCCGATATAAACATAGTTAAGACGTGGCCGGAGAAACTGAAGGAGGAGGTTCGAGGAAATCTAGAAACTAGGGCCAGTGAACCAGAAAAATGAGAGCAGAGGCGGGGATAGGTATGTGTACAAGTAAATGCTACACCAGCGGAGGGGCGCACTCCGAACCACGGTTTCCGCCTGTCTTCACACGCCCAAAATCCTAGAGTCAGGAGGAAGAGAGCTCGGTGGGAAGGGCACTTTGCGACTCGGCTGAAACAGACAAAAGCCATGCGCATGTAGCGACACCTCACGCGCTGTTTAGAGAGGAAGTGAGGGAAAAAAGGAGGCAGCGGGTAGGCGATGGACGTCCTAGGACATGAGCAGTGTTAACTAACACACAGTGAACCTCCCGTAGTGGTTGACGTAAGTTATCGCTACTCCGGCAATGATCACTTGCGCATGAGTTGGATTACGGTGAGAAAGACTTCGCTACCATCGGCTATACTCATTCTACTATCAAACACGTTTTTGTGACAACTGGATCATAGTTGAATGAGGAGATTGACCATGAATTCCTTCTCCGCATGCTCCACATGTGACGATCGAGGTGCCTGGCTGACAGGCACTCATATAGGTGCGTCACGCTTGGCCCAGTCAACTGCCGTCAAATATTAGTAGCCAAACTTGGGTACAAGCTGTGACTGAAAGCAACCATTCACAAAGGACATTTCTGTTCGACATTAGGTGATCGAGTGCACGGCTCTCTGACGCCAGTTTTGGAACGAGACCGTCTTTACAGATTTGAGACGATGATCCCTAAGAATAGTGACAGATTGCTGAGTGAAATAGGCAAGTCTTCATGATTGTCAGCCTACATCGCTTCTGCTTGTGACGTGACTGTTGGCTTCGGGTCAACGTGGGGTCGTGTTCGTCGTGTCTGGCCTTGCCGAAATCTTGAACACCACAACTGTTATCAGCAGTATATTCTCTCTGCCTTGAGGATCTAGTTTTGGCAGTCAGTTAGCATAGAACAGATACTAGACGCCTAGAAGTAGTTTATCAGATATCACCTCCGATGCCCCTTACGGATATGGGTTCTTAACAACTATGGCTAACTAAGCGACAATCTGAATTAGCCAGTACGCGCTAGTAAACAACTCCATCGCAGTAAGCTGTGGCGTTGGCGGGCACCCTTGCAGAAACGAGGCTTGCTGTGGGCAGGTACGTGTGAATGCAGTTGAAATGGAAACAAAAACTCACTCAAACAAAACTAAGACCACACTGAGTTTTGTGGCAGGAGATATCTATCTGGTCATGGTAGGTGCTAACCCGTGGGTTATTTGACACCTGATAGCTCAATATTGAAAATCCAACCAAATGGGCAAGGCATAGAGGAGTGAGCGCATCCGATCGACGTGACGCTAATGAACTTCGTTCGACTCGGACAAAGCCCCTTGCGTCAGTGTAAAGTAAGTGGATCATGTTGAGAGTACACGCAACCCTGTTCAAGATGTGAGACTGAAAGTCGCCGGTTGGAAACATTCGGTCGAAAGTGCTTAAGTTCGACTCCGCAAATTCGCTTCTCCAATTGTGCCTCTAGCGAACAACTATGCACTTAGTGAGGAACGAAAACCGGTGCAATGTGGACGCCTTACATGCCGAGACTTGAGGTTGAGCAATATGCACACTCAACCTGCGTGAAATCATTCTGAGTATCATCTCATGCGACTCCGGCCCTGGCTGGCGACCGTATAGAAGTAGTCGACTACAGTATGGATGGACGTGACAAAACTGACCCGGAAAGCTTCTCTGGTTGCACAGTACCGGTTTACGTGGCTGTCGTGACGAGGGGTTCTATTCTCTCAGGCGCCTGTCGTTGACAGACTATATTAAAAGACGAAGATTCACAAAGCAGTAAGCCCGTGACATGGAGTCAGCCGAATTATCTATGAACGCGGCTTCATAGACCGGTATGTAAACGCGCCCAGGCTGCTTCCGACCCGGGAGCGCTGGCCAACGTGGCTATATGTTCACGTAAGTGTTCAGGGAGATTTTCAAGAATGATTTTCCTGCTCCTTCGGGTTGAAGTATCAAGACTTGTGGAGTACCAGCATCAGGGACTGTGTTCCTATCAGGTCACTCCCATAGACAACATTGTTTTTACACTAAGATTTGAGGACAAACTTGTACTTGATATCGTCCTGATCATGCCTGATTTAGCTGACTCCAACAATACCACAGGCAGGAATTTTCCTGTCTAACTACTACCATTGGTAGATTTGGAAAGCTTGATCCACATCGTTCCTGAAACGAAGGCCGAGTACAGAAGACTCAAGACTTAAAGGCCAATTTTGACGAACAGGATCGTTCTAGACTTAGAGCCGATCTCTTCACCAGCGCCAGTTAGACTGTGCTGTTGTAGTTAGAGCAGTAACACTGTGCGCATGGTGTGATTGATGTAAAATGTGCTCAAATCACCTCAGTCAATTTTAATGAACAGTGTGGGATATCTTCGTGGTGTCAGAGTGGGTGCAAACTACCTCACTCGTTCTCAGGCTACATTGGCCAACAGCCTCCAGCGGCTACTTGTTTTCCAAGCACAAAGTCCGGTATTTATAATCTCGGATGCTCGGTATATGAGGTATTTGGAGGCGACCGACATATCACGATGGACCCGTGGACACCTTCAAATGTCTGCAAAAACCTGAGACGCATAACATTTCCCGTCCACTTCTATGACAGATCGCAATTGTTTCAAGAGTTTCAGGAGATTTCTGGCTGTATGTTTCACTTCTCAATAGCCCGCTAAGGATAATCAAGCCAAAGCAAACCGTTTTCAAGCACTTTCGGACTGGTTTTGCAAAAGTTTTGGCGCTCGGTTGAAACAAATTATCCATGTACGATCGGAAAATCACGATACCATCTGAATGAAAAACGCACTGAGTTTTTGAGCGAGTTGACGAATTGCCTTGTCTACATTTTTCACCAAAACATACTGGTTTCTAAGGAGAACCAGTCGGTAATTAAAAGTGACGGAGAAATTTGTAAATGGCTGAATTCGGCTGATTGTGGTCTCGAAAGTATGCTTAAATGGCGATGGGAACACAATGCAAAAAGTATTTCGGCATGAGAGTTCGACCGATGTAACATGACTGCTCCACAAGATGGGAGCAGCAGCGATGATGTTCGACTTGATGCAGATGGATATACCGCAGTCCCTCCTTCCTCACCCACCACGTTCGGTGGTAAGTCAAGACGACCAGAGGCGAGTGCGGGCGAAGTCGCTGACAAAGCCAAACAGCCCGTTTGCGTATACCACACACGACAGTTTGACCGTAGTGTCCGACGATGTCAACCGTGTGCTCCACATCAAGGTGAGAACAGGGACGGTGACTTGTGCGTGAATTGTAGTGATGGTAGACTTGCACGGCATCTACCGCACTCTCCTCCCCCACCTGGACCCGATGCCAAGACAGAGTCCAGAAGACCGGAGATTGGGGGGGCGCAGGTGGACGGCACAGTCGAGCCCGAACCTTGGCGCTGCACTCCACAGCCCCTGGTCCACACGGTAAATGACCAGGTTTACGCACCAAACACGACCTGGTCCGCACACAGTCACGTATCCTACCTGGTTTCCTTCCCACTCGAATTTGGCTCCAGAGAATAGTGGCAAAGGGCTCTGAGGTGTTCATTTTTAAGGAGAATTTAGTAAAACTTGGGGTTGGTGTACTCCTGTAAGAGGCCGTCTTGTAGAGGCGAGAGCAGACTAAATTGGCAATATATCAGCAGAGCAGCTAAACCTCGACGACGGCTGGGCAGAAAATACTCTTTTCCTGTTTATCTAGCTAGCACTGGTAATGTTAGCGTCTAATATACGGCTAGACAATAGGCTAATTTGCATCATGAAGCGTTGGACAGTGGTCAAGTGCAATGCAGGCCTTAACCAAAGATCTGTTCAATTCCAATAAAACTGCAAGGGAACGAAGCAACTAGAGTTGAAAGTTTGCATCAAAACCCCACATTAGCTTCAAAAACAGGAACCGGTGAGCAGCACAGGGGTTTTAAGATATATGAAAACGACCTAAATTTGTGAATAGAACTGATCCCTGAAGCAAACACGAGGAAAAAACAATCATGTTGGTGGAGGGTTCTGTGAGAAGAAATGGCAAATTACTTGAAAAGAATGAGATAGGGTTGCTGATAAATTGCTGGCGAATGCGAGCTCAACCAAATTCTACAAAAATAACAGAACTTTGATTACAGCGCTGACATTTACCAATAAATCCGTCAGATAAGGCAGAAAACCTCAGAATTTGGGATAACTCAATACGCGTGGGAGAGACAATACTTTGAGCTGACACCTGGGCAAACCGAACAAGGTCCCAAGGAGGCCACATTGCTCGGCTGACATACACTACCGAGGTTACCCTACGCTGCAACTCGGCGAAATCCCAACCTCAGTCGTCATGAAAAAGCTGCCCTGGATGAGCAGCATGTTGAAAATCATTTTGTTTGTTCTCTCCACATAGGATAGTAGGCTGTCTTAGGCCATGTAAATACCCCTATATAATTACCCACTTTTCAACCCCGCAGGCTTTAACGTCCCCTTTGTCCTACTTGTTCCGACGAGGCTACCAAATGTGCATTCGTGTGCTTCCCGTACTTCTACAGATGCGTTAACATACGGAGTCACTGTTATTAAAGCAGTCTTCCACTTTTGTGCAATACTTTACTGTATTTAAACTAACATTGAAGAAATTTAAAGATCTCTTAGACTTACAGAAAATTCCAACGGCGGTAGTCAGTTCCGATGAAGTCTTATTTTGATCGCCATCGTCAGTAGTACTCTGGTGTGAGTCCACTGTCCGACGGGAGGGCGACTGTCTGATCGGCGGAGCCGCGTCCGCATTGTTCTCTTTTTCCGCCTCCGACTGGTGGGAACTACTGTCAACTTCGAATTGGCCGTTAGAGTCGGTATCAGGACCAGATTCATTGTTGGATGTCGGTTGGGAGGATCTGAGACTGTCCCCTTGGGAGGCCTTCTGACAGGAATTGGCTGAGGGGTCGGCCTCGTTGGAGGTTTGACTATGCGAGACAGGGGTGCAGGAAGCACTGTTCAGGAAGGACGCAGAGGAACAATCAGCGGACGCGGTCTTGTCGGTTGATAGTTCTGCTGTATGCGTTGCGGCCGGTTCGATGAGGTCGGAGAAGGCCTCAGAAGGGATTACTGGGATGGCGGTGGCAGTGTCCGCTGCAACGTTAGTAGCAGCATTAGCAACAGACATTTCAGCGGTTGGGGCACAACGTGACTTCTTTGAGGGCCGCACCGCAGGGGCACTACTTGAACCGCCAGGGACCATGGCATTGACCGGAGAACTCTTCCTGCGAGCTGGGCGTTTCCGGCTGGCTCTGGCGGAGGAAGGCGGTGACCGGCTGGATGCAGCCAGGGCAGAAGCCGTCTTGGCGACGGTCACAGCGGCAGTGGGAACCTGAGGGTGGGTGGTAGCTGTGGGAGGAATGGATGGAGGGTGGGCTGCCTGTGACCGAGCACCCTTAACTGATTCGCATTCATCTGTCAAGTCGATGGTTAGAGAGCCGCGCGACTTGATGGTGGAGGAAGATGCAGGGGAATCCAGAGACGTTGCTTGTTCAGAGGCCTGACCTGGTTTGCATCTATCGTTATTATCCCCATTGGGGGTGGGTGACACAGCGAATGACTGGGCGCGATTTATACCAGGATGTTTCGGGTCATCTTGCAGTCGTGAAACGAGGTTTCCGATGCGACTGAAGAAATGGAACCGGAAAATGCTCTGAAATGAACGTACAATATTTGTGATATCATCCAAAGTGCGTGCTCGTGACAAGTTTGTTTCGACCCTGCGCAAATCACTCAGGAAAGTCTCAAGGCAGGCGCGCAGGGCTTTTGTCGCGTTACGAATGTTAGAGGCTTGGACTTGAGATATTTGATCTAAGATGCCTGCTACAGTAACATTTTCCAAATACCAATCACTGCTGTTGGGGTTGGATGCACTTCCCCATTTTCCCCGGCTGGAGCTTTGGTTTTTGTTGGCTGGAGGAATTGGAATTTCTGGACGTTTTGCTGCTATAGAAGCAGAACTTGAAGCGGGGGCTGACGAGACTGGAGATTTAGTAGGCTGCGTTTCTGGTAGAGTAGATCCGGGAGCAACTGATGATGTGTTTAAAGGAACAGATGCTAGCGCTTGCAGGTTAGACACAGCGGCCAACAGGTCGGATGGCTGGGGGAGAGCTCCAAACGGCGCAACCAACTGCGTTCCACAAGTGCTTGTAACTCCGGCCAAAACAGCTGGATGGGGAGAAACATTTAGCACAGGTCAAAACCGACGCACAAAGATAGGTAGGAGAAACCGGTGTACTTGTCAAAAAACAGATGAAAAAATCAGATTTTTTGTGCACTGTCTGGCTGGCGTTTGTAAGCCTGCCTATAGTGGCCTAATAATGAAAAGACGCGTTAGCAGAATCCGATACTCATTAGACCATGAGGAAATCAGCCGTAGTTGGATGTTTACAGTTCTAGAGTTCACTGACAGCCGTCATCAACCTAAGAAGTTAAAGTGCCCGTCAAATAAGTACCTACAAATAGAATGGGTCGTAAAATAGGGACGTTGGGGATTTGTTCTCTACTTTTTAATGGAGAAGTTGTCAATTTCGCAAGCAAATACCATGCGGCCAAAAGATCGGCACAAATAAAGATAGTCGAACTATGATGTTCTTAAACGCACAGAAACCGTCTGCCCTAAACCAGATAAGGTTAGTCTGGCGGTCATTCGGCAATGCCTTGCAGCAGGCGTTTCTGAGACCGAGTAAAGGAGTTGCCGGTGACAAACGTCAAATTCACACTGAAAACTATTCCTTACCAGGAACAGGGGCCAGTCCGAGCTAATCAACCAGCATGGCTCAATTCTACTCTGTGACACGAAAAGACCTAACATAAAGTATTGTGCAGCTCGGAATGTGATGATGTCACCCAGCCTACGAACTTGCCTGTTTGCAAACAAGTTAGGATTCTTGAAGACCTCAATGGCTTCTCGAGAGGAAAAAAATAGCGGTTACAGTTCCACAAACCTGAATTCCAAGACTTCTCAGTCTGTGAACCTTTGATTTTTAGACTTATACTGAGCTTGATGAGCATGAAATTCAGAGAATGCACATGCTAAGCGACATATTTAGTTGCCTGCAATTCGATATTTGGTGTGTAACAACCTGATGAAAACAGTCTGACTAAAAATTTTCCGCAAGAATATCAACGAAAGTAAAAACCCCTGCTTTCCGTTAGGACGCTTTACGAGTTCGTTCACAAAAGAAGCGATGCAATTAGGTTGAATGGATGTTACCTGCTAAAGCATTCAGCCCTCCAGGTGGGTTAAACCCAGCTGGAGAAACCTGCAACGGCTTCTCCGCACTGGTGTTCGCAGAAGGGACATTTGGTTCGATGATGTTCAAGGGATGGTTCGGACTAATGCTAGGAGGGGGAGCCTGTGGAGAAGATATTGCCGTGGTGACTGACGGGGTAGGAGTGCTTGCAGAAGCAGCGTTGGAGCGGTTACGCCACAATTCGTAGGCACGTTCTGAGCGCTTTTTGCGTTGAGCGTGGTATGCCCGAACACGCTGGATAATCTAAATTTGCAAGTTGAGATACAAGCAATTATCATTGCAAAAAAATGAGCAACAAGAGTAAAAGCCAAAGGATGAACCCACTTCAAAGCATTGCTTCTGGAGGGGCAGAAGGGGTTCTTTTGTACAGAGCAAACAATTCCACGATTCGTTTTCACCCAACTCTTCAATGTTATGGAGGTAGGTCCGACCGATGTTTCTCTTTATGCAGCTTTTACAGAAGGTGTTGGAGCAAGAATCGCAACAGATCAGATCTCCGCCATCTCCACACCATCGACAGTTTTCGTCCTTTCCGAAATCATCTTTGGGAAAGTCGCCCCGTCCATAGAATTTAAGACAGCGCTAAGGACTGTGTTGAACACACTTACAACGTACCTTGCATATTATGACTTTCAAAACAGGATGAACCTCGCAAGGAACAGAAAACGGACTGATGCGCGAGGCACAACTTGTGCACTTGACAGTGTCTAAGACGCCAGGAGAGCAATCAATGGTCTGTGATTTGCGAGGCAAGGCACCGTCTTGCAAATCTAGCTGACTGGAAAAACCAGTGGTGTCTTCCACAACCGCCGGCTGCACGACAGGTGTTCCTACAGCTTAGTTGAGCCATTAAGCATGTACCATCAGCTAACACAATGTTTCCGGAAGAGTCAACGGTAAAGTTTCTAGTCTCTAACGCAGAGGATGACTTGGGGGTAGAATCCACTAAATTCTCTTTGGGGGGATGGGATAAACCTTCGGCCTCAGGCGTCCCGGTGACTACGTGTCGCGTAGCCGCTTGTTTCCTGTAGATTACATTAAAAATCAAAAATTAAAGCTACTTTCTCATTTTCCTCGACGTTGCTTACTAGGCGAAATACGAAGGAGAACTAGTAGGCAAAGAAATTTTCGCGCCAAGATCGAAAGAATGCACTGCGTTTAAGTGCGCTCCCACCTCATTTACTCAAGGTGAAATAGGTGAATTCACCGACAGATAAAAGGAAAAGTATCACGAAGGAAGAGACACATTCGTGTCTTAGCGATCGTTTACTTGAACCCGCCTTTTCGCTTTTATCGGTGGGGTGGGGATAATGAATTTGCTGGACATCGCTCCCCATAAAGCTAGGAATGTGCGATACCCACGTTAGATACCGTAGGGCATATCAGAAATCAAGGAAGCTGAAAAAGAAGGAAGATCAACAAACTAAATGAACTGAGAACATTTACCCCATCCCAAAAACGCCATGAACTAACGAAAAATATGGCACATTAGGCAGAAACATAATAAAGGACCACAGGGAAACAAGACAACGCACGGAACCAAGGAGTTAGTCGTAGCTACGAAGAGAAGTTTCGAAATCCCAGAAATTTGCATGATTGCAGACAGCTGACGGTCTTCATTATGCCCACGGTCAATTTAATTAGCACTTTCTGCGTCGAGCCGATGGTACTGCCCATAAACGATGAATCTGGAAACTGAATCCACAGTATCATATTCCGACGTTGCTCTTAGTTCAGCTTAGCTCAGTATATTTAGAGGCAATAGGCAATGCCTCCGAAGACCCTACTGAAAACAGTACATTCTATGTTCGGTGATACACAAAAATTCTACTAAAATTTTATCAGTAACATACACGTTTTACGCAATATCACCCTTGAAACGGCGGAACTGAAACCCCGGGACACTCAGTTGTGTATGATAATAATAAAATGGAATGGCAATCACCCGCATTAGCTGGAAGTGTGTGAGAAGATTTGGTTTGGTATAACAGAGGTGTTCTGTCCAGCTAAGCGTAATTTTTAGACAAATAAACATCCAGCCTTTCTTTAAATGCCTCTGTGGAGTCCGTCATTATCAAGTCCTCGGAAGGCTCCTTCCAGGCACCGACGACTTGCTGTGAAAACGAGTGCTTGTGAACATCCAGGTGTGATCGGGCTCCTGGAATTTTGAGGGAATTCCCACGCAGGTTTGTTGCTGTGGGCAAGGCGAAAAAATAATCGAAGTGCAGGGCACAGTCCTGATTTCTCATAATCCGGTGGGACCGTAAGAGATGTCCTCGGATCTGTCTGTACTTAACAGAAAATAGGTGAATCTCGTCAAAGTTGAAACTGTAAAATAAAATTTTGAGATCCTTCACTATTCTGATCGCCATCTTGTGAACTCTCCATAAACTAATAGTCCCTTTTCAGCCAGGGCTGCAAGGCTTGGATTCCATATTCCATCTGCGGAGCCTTTATTCGCTCGCAAATGTAACCCAAGCGTTGGGACCGTGGCTGAACTAAGACTATAAGTTGCCAGAAAGAGTTCAGGGGAGGGCGGCTAAAGTTGTGAAAGGACTCAAGGCGTTGTCTTATAGCTTCAGATTCGATTAGATGCACCTATTTCCTCTTAGGTACAGACAGGTCCGAGGATATCTCTTACGGTCCCACCGGATTATGAGAAATCGGGACTGTGCCCTGCACTTCGATTATTTTTTCGCCTTGCCCACAGCAACAAACCTGCGTGGGAATTCCCTCAAAATTCCAGGAGCCCGATCACACCTTGCTGTTCACAAGCACTTGTTTTCACAGCGAGTCGTCGGTGACTGGAAGGAGCCTTCCGAGGAATTGATAATGACGGACTCCACTGAGGCATTTCAACAAAGACTGGGCGCATATTTGCTTCAGTCTTGGACTGTATTCTACAGAGGTAACTTAGTGGCAGATCATCGGGTGAACTATGAATAGCTCAGTATAGTATGGGGTCAACGGGGGAATTTGAAGGCCATTGTTAGAACTGAGCAATTCAAATTCGACAAATTTGACGGAAACGATGTTGTGAAAAATGCAAATTAAACTGGTGGCGTGAGAGCGCTCGCCGATCGCGTTACAGAATCCATTCGTCCCATCGTGCTTTGGGACATTCTCACGACTGCCCCAGCAGCCGCACGGCGGCGCGTGATATAGGCAGAGTAGCATTACCAACAAAGACAATGGAGACTGGAATGGTCATTTTTGACTTATTAGCCGTGGTCGACCATTCATACCCAGTCCTGAGTGTGGAACATCTGGTGCTTGATCCCGCAACCTGTCGACACACCTAAAATCACACAAGACATGGTATAATAATGTGCATTCGTGTTGACGGCAGGCGTGAACAAAGTCTAGATTTGACGCACAGAACTCACCGGTCTGTCCGGTCGGCATTTTCTAAGTAAGTATACACCCAGTGCATGTGTGTTGTTCCCCTAAAACAGGTCACGAAGTAGATGCGTCTGAACATTGTGGGGGTTAGATCAGCATTGTCAGGCGTTATTGGGGCTGCACACCCGTAGCAAAGGCTAACGTGTGGGGCTGGAGGCACGCCCAGACGTAGGACTGATCGCCACCCGAGACGCACCATTCTTTTTACGCACAGCCAGCGCTCTAATAATGAAAAATAATTTTTTATTAAAGTCCCCTCTGGGTCCCATAAAAGCAAGTAAAAATAAATTTACATTCGAATTTTAGACGAGGTAGGCAGAATCTGTACAAAATGCAATTTATACTTTCCGAATTTGTAGTCCGTTGAGAAGAATGACTGGCGGAGGTGAAAAAAACTCAACTTAAAATTTAAAAATAATTGAAGTAATTTTACACGTGAAAAAAATATCGATAGAAAATAACAAAAATGCGGGCATGACTGGCTTGTATGTGGCGGTATATAACGGATTATAATCGGACAGCGTCAGGGCAACAATAAATGTCAGCCATGAGGGGCACGTATGCGGGTCAGACAGGACTGGCCTGCATGTGGTATTGTATACGGGATTCAGAACTGCGATCGCGTGGGCCGGATTGATACGCCGGATGAGACTATTCGCGTCCAAGAGGCCAGACGAGAGGAACCCAGACGCGATCGTCCATAGTACGCTTCGAGCCCAGCCGAGGAGTGGGGAAGGGAGGTACGACCAATTTACTAGTAGAGGGCGAATACTGAGGTTTCCGTCGTGAGCTGCGACAGACCGAGTCAGGTCAAAATGCGGGAGATGACATCAAGAACCGCGAAAATTGTCGCTGTGGGGCAGGAGTGATAGAAGTGCATTTAGCAACCAATTCAAAACAGGGTTTCTAATGATATAGTTGAGGGTTACCACTTGATCTACTACTAAGTCTTAAGAGGGCCCTTCTCGAATTCAAGAACCTGAGTGTTCGGGAATGAGAGCGTTAACAGTGCCTTTATGCTTTCCGGTGTAAGGTGTTTGCGTAATTTCGACCTGAATGCCAGTAACTTAGGCAATGACCGAATTTCTGGTTGAGCATTATTCCAAAGGAAGGCATATTTGGAAGCAAAGAAGAGGGAGCGCTTAGATGTAGTGCAAGGAGGCGGCGGAATCATCATGGAGGAGTTGCGCGTGGCATAAGACCGATCTCTCGTAGTTAGAGATTCAATGATCTGAAGATTGCAGCTAGAGTTAATGCGAAAAAGGAAGCAAAGGCCAGCTTTGAGTCATCTCACTCACAAAAACTTAATGTTCGCCAGCTGACATCTCTGAGTATAAGAAATACTGGACGAAGCTTGAACGAACAGCTTCCGGGTGAAAACCCTCTGAACATTTTCGATCTCATAACGGTTACAGGCGTTCATTAAATCAAAGAAAGGACAGCAGTATTCAAGGACTGAAAGAACAAACATTTGATGAAGTCTTAGCTTCATTTCGGGAAGGAAAAGTTATGCGATATGAATCTACATATCTGCGCGGCTTTGGCAGAGATTCTACCTGCATGAGGTGATAAAGCAAGTTTATCTGTATAACTCATACCTAGGTCCTTTATGGTGAGTCATTCTGAGAGTGGGTTATTCTGAAAAATTATGGGACCAGGAAGTTTGGCAGGACCAAAAGACATGAAACTACACTTGGATGATGAAAACTCCATCTGCCGTGTTTAGCCCCATCTGCTTAAGCGTAGTAAATCGGCATTAATTATTTAACACAAACGTTTGCGGTGTCCTTAGAATATATGTAAACACACTTGAGGTCATCGGCTTAAATAAAAGTTTGCGAATTTCCGAGTTCAGTCCAAATATCCTCGATGTATAGAAGGGGGAGTATCGGATCCAGAACCGTACCTTGAACTACGCTACTCTTGATCGAGTGAGGTGTTGAGTAGCTATTGCCGACCATGACTTTCTGGTATCGGCTGGACAGATAGGACCTGATGAAGTCGAGTAATGGCGGCCGGATGCCGAGATCCTCCAATTTTACTAAAAGATTTCTATGGGGCACCTTGTCAAATGCCTTGTTAAGATCAAAGTAGATAACTACCACTGACTGCCCTCCATTACGAAGAGAAGTGCTTAGATTAAGAAATGCCAGGTGGCAAGTTTCGCAAGATCGTTCTTGTAAAAATCCATGCCGATCGGCTAGATAGAAGTCAAGAATTTCATTGAAAATAATCCTTTCAAGAAGCTCTGCTAGAGACGGCGTTTTGTACACGCCCCAATAATTATTAACATCGGACCGAGATCCAGACTTGAAGACGGAAATGATAATTGACGTTTTCCATGTTTCCGGGAAGAATCCTTTTGGAATATAAACCGAAAATAAATGACTAAACAATATGGGAAGGTCGGATGATTGCTTAATTATCGAATTTGGAATCCCGTCCGCTCCTGAGCAGTATGAGTGTTTCAAATGACTTATGTGTTTCTTAATGAGATCTGAGGAGAAATCGATTGTACTCGGTGTCCTATCTGAAGGTGAGCGAAAGAAAAGGACCGGTTCGGACTCAGTATTAAGGTGTTTTGCAAACAAAACACTAAACAACTCCGCCTTGTCGGTGTCATCGATGAGGAAGACTTTGTTATCATTAGCAGGGGGTGGAAGTTCGTGAGCACGCTTAGAGAAGGACCGATGACGGAATATGTTAGCGACGGATTTGCCTGGGTTCGAATTACAGGGAGCAAGTGATATTCTCTGCCTGTCGCGTGCTTGGCGCATCCTTGAGGCCATCTCAAAAGTCTCCGTGCTTCTAAGATGAACTGATAAGTAACTAGTGGATGGGTCACGCAGCCGCAGTCTCAACTTTTTTAGTCTGTTGTGAAGAAAATGAGGAACAAGGGAATCTGAAGAATTAGGCTTGAGATATATACGCGAAAAAACTCTAGGACGTCCTTGGAAACACTGGACATGACGTCACGAAGAATGGTTGCATCGCTACAGGAGAGGAAACCACACCAATCCAAATATCTAACATAGTTATTTACTAAGTCGTTATATACGCAATCTTAGTTTGTGTAAGGCCGAACGCTGCTGGTCTTTTTGAAAATGCAAGCTGTAAGCAACAATGAATTAATACGTGGTCAATGTCAAAGAGGTTGCCGCAGTTGCCGACTACTTCGCCTACCTAGGAAGCACACTCTCGTGCATCACAAACATCGATGACGCGGTTGTCTGTCGGTTCTCCAAAGCCAGCCAGATCTTCGGCCAGCAGCAAACCCCGCATGGAATCGTCACCGCTTTCTATTGAACATCAAACTGAGGATGAAGATGACAGTAATCTTGACGACACGTCTGTTAGGAGTGGAGACCTGAATCTCAGAATCCACGCAATGCGCAGACAACCGCAAATGTGGTGAAGCGATCATCTGGTGAGAATGGACGATGCCCGTCTACCAAGAGAACTCTTCTACGTGGATGTCTCTACGGGTGCTCGCCAAGCGGAGGGACCAAAAAGACGTTACGTGGGCACTTTGAAGAATTTGTTGTGACCCTACTCCGAGGGCCTATCGCAACGCTGAGCCTCTCACGAGTGTCTGCACGTGCCCATCAATGCTGTCTGGCTCTCGCCCACTCGGTTTTTCAAATGAGCAGCCAGATTCAAGCCCGACTCAGACGTGACCTGGCTTAAGATGCTTTGACGAATTCCCCGAATCCCTCTTGGAACGAGGCTCTCCCGGTGCTGGAGGGGCTTCCCTTTTGCATTTCAAGATTCTGTATTGCCATTCCTGGCGTACTATCTTACGTGCGACGAGATGGAAATACAGAAGCTAAGACTTAAACTGCTCCAATAATAATGCTTAACTTTGTTTTAGTATTGTTGACTCTGTGCAATCTATTAACTTATTTACTGCCCATAGTGAATGGAGCCAATTTTTTTCTGAAAATTGTGAATTTCGCAATAAAGCGAATTCAACCCTCTTTCTCTGCGATCTCCCTCTGGTCCATTCTCCAGTTGTTTTGTACGAAATATACAATTCTCCCAAATGACGTTCTACTTCCTCTCTTCCCAGTCGGGACCGGGTCTGCAGGTCGTGAGAGACAGGGCCTTACTCTCGGCTTAGGCTTCTGTGATAAGTTCTCTTAAGCCATAATAAGGGCCGAATCGCTCCAGTTGGATCCTTTCAAGTCGCCTGGTCCGGATATAATTCCTGCAGTAGCGCTTTGAGAACTAGCTAACGAGATGTACGAACAACTGTTAATCATATTTTAAAAGTCGCTTGACAAAGGCGAAGTCGCGGAAGAACAAAGGTGTGTAGTCGTCAATCCAATCCGTAAAGGAGGTTCACGACTTGACTGCGAAAATCATCATCTTCTCATCCTAACTTGCATCGAGTGTAAGATAGCGGAGCATATTACCAGGAGACATTTAATAAGCTTTATGATAGAGAACAAAGTACTATTTGATATCCAGAATTGCTTTCGTCAAGGACGCAGTTGCAGCGCGAGTGTTTCTTTTACACACATGAGAAATGGATGAAAAACGCAGATAAGGGTCATCCAGTGAATGTCATATTTTTCGACTTCAAGAAAGCCCTCGATAGCATACCACACGGGTTATTTTACAGAAGATTTGAGATGCAGGCATTTGAGGGAGAATGCTTAAATGGATTGAGACTCCCCTGTCCTTCAGAGTACAGAGAATCGCTGGTAGTAATCCTACCTCTGAATGGGCAGAAGTAGTTGGTGTCCCACAGAGTTCTTTTATAGGCCCATCACTTCCCCCAATTTATAGATATGATTGCAATACCGAATTGGATTGCGAGGCTATATGCTCACGGATGGCGTGAAAATATGATGCGAGGTAAACTATTTTGATGACGCGAAGAAGTTGCAATCAAACATCAACAAACTAAGTGTTTGGTCAAGCAGATGGCTTTTAAAGTTTAATGTATCAAAATGCGTTTTCGTACACCTAAATGCCGATCGAAATGCCTCTATCGAGAATCAGTACTAGAGATGCAAAACGACACAGGGATCTGGGTGTGTGGTCGACAACAAGCCTTATGTCGCCAGAACATTGTATGAAGATGGATTAGGAGGCAACAAGTACTTTACACTAAATTAGACGTTCATCAAAACTATTTCCTCCCGAGGTCCACGGAAGACTTTTCGACGTCTTTGTAAGGCACCGCCTGCAATAGGGAATGTCAGACACTGCACCATGGATGAGGAAGTATATTGACCTACTCGCACAGGTGCAACGCAGAACAAATGAGGTAGCCGGCGGTCTGAAACATTTGTCGTACAAGAAGAGAGTAAATACGCATGACCTATTCCCTCTAACTTATAGACCACCAAAATGCAGCCTACTCTGGACATTTCGGACCGTCTGTGGCCATGCTTGCCTACTGAGACCGAAGAACTTCTTGGAATTTGTCCGTACGAACCAATTAAGCGATCATCTCTATAAAGTCAGGAGTGGGTCGTCTGACAATGGAACTTGTCCCCAAGTGAGGTGGCGACGGAAAACACAATTCGAATGTTTAAGTGAAAACTTGCTCGCGTAATTTTTAACAAAGACCGAATCTCGCAGCATGATTACTCACGGCCAGCCTTGAAAAGACTTTGTCATCCACAATCATTTTATACTGAGTCACAGTGAACAGGAGCGATTCCCTATTATTCATGTTGTATTGTGAACCGACCACATTCTAAACATTCGAAACCTTATTTTGAGTGTGAGTATGCGAAATTATTGCACACAACTAGTGCCATCTTGGGGTTACTCCTCGAATTCTTCAAATGCGCAACCGCACATGTGCATAAGGCATTGTATATCAACTCAGTGGGCTGGGAGAACCTCGCCCAGTACATACCAGCCTAGAGAAGTGAAGACTGACGCAGCCATCCACGAAGCGAATCGGTTTGCGGCCGACAGGGCCAAAAGGGCCGCTCGCAAGTTTCAGCCGCTTTCGATTTGCCAGGTCGCCACTCAACCCTACTGAACGTGCTCACACTATCAAAAAACATTTCGCCAGCGGGTCAGCTTCCACGGTCATCTTTGGGCCCGGCGCACTAACCGCCTGACGATCGTAATTGCTGAATCTACAACTGCCTCTGCTCCAACCTCCACGTCGACCACGCTGACGATGATCGTCATCAGGATCTTTGAATCCCAGTGTCGCACTGCTTCCGACTACTACTACCTCCATTATCTCCGCCGCAATTACTGAGGCGACGACAAACACAACCACCTCCATCATTGCCGTCACCGACCAAAACGCACCTGACGACCGGATAATCACCAACACATTCATCATCACCACCCCACCTCCAGCGAGATGGACTCGATACAAACCTGCCTTCATTGCGACCGGACATTTACCTCACACATAGGCATGGTCGGTCGCTTGCGAATTCATCACATAGAGGCTGGCGAACCGGTGCCTAGAGAACCAAAATACACTCGCCGAATTCGCCTTCACCGCCAGCGCACATTCATTAGCCGCACGGGTCTGTTCCGTCACATGCGTATCCACGATAGCGCAACACACTTCAGTACCGACACACCCATTAAATCTTGCAGATGCACTACCTCTAGCTCAATCCTTTATCCATCGCCCAGCGCTCCCACCACCAAAAACATCATCATCATCATCATCATCATCATCATCATCATCATCATCATCATCATCATCATCATCATCATCATCATCATCATCATCATCATCATCATCATCATCATCATCATCATCATCATCATCATCATCATCATCATCATCATCATCATCATCATCATCCTCCGAAACTTTTAAACCAGCGATATTAGAATGTGCCTTCCTAACAAGTACGTTATACCTGTCATGGAATACCGCTCATTTTTATTTAGCCTCATGCGTGCTGCAGAGCGGAAGAAAATAGCATCCGTCCAACATTTTTTATACCAAGAGAGTGTTGACCCCGGAACACCGGCATTTGTCTTACCAAGAACGTTGTCGGCTCACAGGCCTTGATACATCCTGGTGTCGTAGATTACAAAGGGGACCATTCTTACTATTTAAGCTTTTATATAGGCGTACCTTTAACCCACTCACTGCTTTAAGACATCCTATCTACCCGCGTCGTAACAGTCCCCGTGAGAGCTATTTTTATTTCTTCCTCTGGCACGTACCGTTAAATAGCGTTGGTTCTTTTCTGTAAATGCAATTGCTATTTGGAATAAACTACCCAGGAATGTGAAAGCTCTACGAAATTATCCTTTGTTTAAGACAACTGTTACTCGACTTTAACGTTTGGAAAAACTCCCGCAAATTTTGGCTCCTGAATCCACTGATCGACAATACCGTAGCGACGGCGTGTGTGGTCTCTGATCTCTATGGCCGGTCTCATCAGGGACAATTCAGCCAACATTAACAACTGTTCTAGGGCGCTTCTGTATGGACCGGCCCCAACTTCATGAAAAGAAATGGCAACTGAGAATTTCGAATACACTGCTACCCCTCCCTTTCTTGACTGTCGGAATTTCATGGTCAGCATTTTTTCTCCTGAACCCTCCAAACTATAAAAAACCACCATCAACTTTATTTTTACCTCCTTTTTGACAGGAATTTTTTCCACTGCTGGCCAGATTTGTGTTTAACGCTTCCCCAATAATACCTGTAAACTGGAATTTAATACAATTATTATTATTATTATCATTCACGGTGGACGATTGCCTGTTTTCTTTCGTCTGTGTGAACAACCTAGATGAGTGGTTCTTATAAACAACGCACTGAACGTGCTCTAATGGTCGTTGAGTGTGATATTCTTTGCAATGTGGCTACCCACGGTATTGCCGAGACTTGCGTTTGCATGCCGAAAAAATCGCCCTTCTAGATATTTGTTTCCAATTGATTAAGTTGGTCAGGCTGTGGGGACATTAAATACTCGGAGGGCACTGCAATATGACCACTAGCACCCATTGGTGGGAGATCTTGTAGACCTAACACACTTTCTTCATCTCGGATGTGCACTAGGTTTAGTTAATCTGAACGTTGGCCTTCCCTAACATGTTCCGGCAGTTACATTCCGCAAATAGTTTTACGCTGCCATTTTGAGCAGACAACGACTAAGTGTACCCAGTAAACCTGAAACAGTCAGAACTTGCCAGTCGCCACCGGGGGTGTCAAAATCTCCAACAATAAGGAGATCCTTGTCCAAGCAGGTCTTGTTTAGTTTTGATAGGAGAAGGTTTTCGCTGTGGGCAATGAGACAGCAGCGAAGGTTGTCGGGTCGTAATGAGTGAACAGAGGATCCGAGCTGAACATCGAGTCTAGGTGAATGAAAACCTTTTTACAATCCAGTATCACTAGGCAGCATCCATCTGCAACAAGCGGTTGATCGAGATTCGTAAGTCATGTAACGATGACAGGAAGGCGCTATGGTAACCTCTCGGACCGAGGAATAGCCAAAGTTGTGATAAATAATTAGGTGCAAGTAGTAATTGGATAGAACACATATTTTCGGGGTCTGGTTGGCGACCAATCAGCGTCAAAGATGAACCCTAGAAAGGTGATTGACTGGAGGGGAAATCGGCATTTGTCAGCCCTCAGGAGGAAACAGTATTCCATCACGTATCCGAGAACTACGGACACTTGACCTTTAAGTTCAGCGGGCGTGCGCTGCATGATGGTGTTTTCCAGATTACCAGCGGTACCCGGAATGCCGGAGAGCATTGTGTTCATCGGACGATGAACGCTACTGCCAGAACAGGTACTAGCCAAAGGCCTTGACACGCAACTCGTCACTGTTCTGCCATTGCATTACACAGATGCGAGGGGTTTGGCTAATCAAGAGATCCTTCAGCCTTCCACGTGATGCTTCTAGAACGGCTGTGAAATTTCAGCTTTTTAATCTCAGAAATTACTACGTTGATTTGGAGTAAATTCCTCCTGAGGGAACATTTTCAAGTTCGAATTGAAAGTTGGCATAAATATTTGAGCCGATATCGGTCAGCTTCAGCGGAATACTTGCGTAATCAGTCAGTCAGTCAGTGTATTTAAGGAAAATTGGCTTACGCCCTTGACCTCCCTATGCGTACATAAAAATCCTTAAAATTTGCAACAGCATGAAGAGATTCGAGCAAAAAGTGAAAGCAGACATCGATTCACATAATACACTGTTTTTTTCTGATTTCAAAGTCACATAGTCCGCTTGTTGCTGCAGCCTATGTCTGTCAAGCCAACACTTAAATGTCCCCACAGGCTGAGACGGTAAGGTCCCCTCGGCCAGGTTATTCATGGTTCTGTGCTGAAGTACTTGACTACTTGACCTTTGACAATCTTGTCACGTTTGTTCTACTGTAGCATTTGTTTTAACGTGACGAGGACTCCGCCGCTTGTAAGCTTCGCGCCGCTTGCGTGCTCTCTGGTCAAGTCGTTGCACATTTTGAATATTAACTTTATTCCCTTTCTGGCCTTCCTTACCTTTCTCCGTTTATGAGGATAGTAAGCCGTAGTTCGTTAGTTCGCGGGGACGACATAATTTACGTCAGTTCCACGACACGGTTGGAGAAAAAATGCTTTCTCACGTCCAATCTTTCTTTGGGAACACGTACTTTGAAGGGATGTGCACGGAGGTTAGTTGCCGTGGCAAGTTAAAAAAAAGTCGTAACACCGATGGGCGCAGTACAAGCCACGCACAATACGGAAAGTTTGTATCAAATCACCCCTCAATTGTCTTTAACTCAGATGATAGAGTTTAAGGTTATTCAGACGGGTCTCATAAAGCAGTGCACCTTGAACTCTTATTAATTTTGTGGCGCGCCTCTGCACCCTTTCGAGCAGGCTGTAAGCCTGCTGCGTCCACGGTCTCCGGGCCTGAATTTCATATTCGAGATGCGGCCTTACAAACGTGCCGAAGACTTTGGAGAAGCAATCTGCATCGAAAACTGCGAATGCACGCTTAATTGCGCATAGGAATGAAGTTGCGGCTTTAGCCGCCTTAGAACATTGAGCAAAGGGCTTTAGGCTGCCTGCAACCCAGACTCCGAGATCTTTCTGTGACTATGCTTCTCGGAGTGGCATCTCGTTTAAATAATATTGCCGCGTATTATGGATCGGATTCCGATTTTCTAGACGCAGAATGGTGCATTCATTCAAAGTGAAGGACAGGGGCCATCTGCGGGGCCACTCGTCCAGTCGACGAAGATTTTTTTGAAAGTCGGCCTCGTCGGCAGCATTCTGGAGGACTTTCCAGAGTTTTATGTCATCTGCGAACATGGCACTATCACAGTTCAACTCCTCTACACAATAATTAATAAACAAGAGAAAGAGGATCGGTCCGAGCACTGAGCCTTGTGGGACTCCACTCTCTATCCCTGTGCCCCTTGATTGCCGTTGCTCCACGCGGACAATTTGAGGACGACCGACGAGGAAATTCGTGATCCATTTGGGAATGTTGCCGCCGATGCCCATCATTCGCAACATGTGAAGGAGACGCTGGTGCGGAACACTGTCGAACGCCTTTCGGAGATCAGTATTGGCCACATACACAGTGCGTTTTGCATCGAGTGCTCTTATCCAGTTTTGCATTGTGCATAACAAGTTCGTTACACATGATCTTCCCTAACGGAAACCGTATTGTGCATAGGACAAGAGGTTGTGGGTTTCCAAATAAGCCATCAACTCCTATTTATTGCTTTCTCCACCACTTTTCAGCAGTCTGATGTCACACTGATGGGTCTGTAGTTCTTCGCAAGAGCACGACTACCGCTTTTATAAAGGGGTATAGTGTGGGCCATCTTCCAGTCTGTCGGAAGGATTCCAGCATCAAACGATGCCTGGCGCAGAAAGGGGGATGGTTTGGCCAACTGACGGGAAAGTTGAGAGAGCAATTTTTTAGGGATTTCTTCCGTACCAGGAAATTTACATTCCGTTTAGTTTTTTAGTTCATCCGAAATCGCTTCTTCTCGAGAGGCAATATTTTTAATGATCGAATCTCCCATGTTTTCAGAACTAGATGGAATAAAATCTGCTTCTGCTTTGCTCCACCAGTTGGCTTACATTCCAGATTCCTACTTCTCGTCTCATCGTGGTATTTTCAGGTGCATGAGACCTCACCGGATTGCTTTGATGTGGGGTGCCTCGTTATCGGTGTCACTTGTCCCTCTCCTAAACCGACGACATCTCTGACTCGTACTGACTGGCGGGAAAACTGATTGCAGTTCATTTCGCGATGTGAAGGCCTTATCTGCGCGCAGCGTGCCTTTGGTTTTTGTATGCAGGCGACGACTTCGGTTTTGTAGCAGACCCAAGGCGGTTATGCGTTCCAAGTCAGAAAACACCCCTCCTAAGTTTACCATTCAATCCTCAATGAAAAAAGGATATGTGATGTCAACGCAACAGGTGCTGGAGGAGTTGAAATAAGGCGGAAGGGACGGAAAGTCAGTTGTGAGAGAAGACTGCGGGTCCTTTGGCAGGGACGGGTTGGCCTGCTAAATGAGCTTCCACTGGTCTGTGATGTGTAGTAGTGAGCGGTGTACGAGAGCGGTGATTGCATCCACGAGGCGACCTCCGGTTCTAGTTGGTAAATGTCAATTCTCGGCCACATTTAAGAATTCTCCAGGCGGTTCGGACAGGTTTAAATAGAACGGACGAATAAGTGTGAGGAAACCTGACTGTAAAGATAGAATAAAGCAGGAAATAACCAATTAGTTTCTGTAAGTCGGTATTATGGGCATTTTGATCTAACGAAATAAACAATGGATTTGGTGAGAGTTTAGACTTAATCGGGAAATAACAAAAGGATCAAAGATTCGATATGGCATATTTACTTATAAATGGCGACGGAAAAATCGACCAGTTAGGGCTAAAATCCGAAAAACTTTGTTTCCATCGTTAAAATTGCCTGTGGCTGCTCCAGTGCTCCTAAGCCTCGGTGATTCACTAGCGACACATGCTTTAGCCAATCAGTGAGCAGACAACGACCAAACAGGACTGGTACCAAAATATATCTAAACGACAGCCACCAGTCGGACTCCCTTGGTGTAAGGTTACGAAGCTGGCAGACGGGAAGATAAGGGCAGCGGTCTTTCGTAAGCCAACCGAGATTAGGCGCATCTTCTACTTCAGGAACAATCATCCCCTGCGTCAGAACCCTCTTCCAACGCGCTCAAACCCGCAGTATCAGCGACAGGGGAGAAAGAGGAGATTAAGTACTTACACGCCCTATTTGAAGCCAATGGTTAGCTGAATTCCTTCATATGCAAGTGGTCTAGTGATGAAAAATTGCAGTTCCGGCTCGTGATCCTTTAAGTTAAGAACGTTTCGTAGGCCACGGTCGAAATCGTGAAGCCGTTTGGGATTAGCGATTTGTTGAGTCCAAGGACCAGCTACCCGTGACAGAAAAATCATTAGTCGTCTACGACATACCCTGTCAGCATTCTGATGCAATAAATGTTGGCGAAACGTGCAAACACCGCGTCACAAGACTGCATCGACACTGTCTTGCAGGCAACCGTGAAGATAAGCCGTCTTTTATCTATTGTCACGCATGTACATCAGAAGAACCACATTTTCACCCTTGGAAAGTTGAGGGTGGTTGGTCGAACCAATAAGAAGATGGTCAGAATGGAACTGGAAAGTTGGTTTCCGACTGGCGCACTTAACTGACCCGTGGGCCTGCACCTCCACCCTATAAAGCGCTACGCACAAGGCTCGAAGGCTCGAAGAAAGGGCCAACGGGGAAGAAAGTCACGCGGAACCGACGGCCGACGCCCGCGGAAAAACGGGGAGGCGTCGACCGGAGGTCACGTGGTCGTATGGCACACCAGCTGAAAGCAGTTCACACGAGCACAAACGACTGGCCAGTTTGTCGGCCAACGAGGGGAAGCCAACAAGCACGCTGACCTGACCGCAACTACTACAGTCGCGCAGGGGGGACACAATGGTCGACATCGGAGAGGCCAGAACTAGCTAACTGCATACGGACATGCCAAAGTACGTGCGTAAAGCACGGTTATACACGAGGCAGGCGGCAAGGCTAAATAAATCAAGACCGACAGGAAAAGCCACAACACTGCTCAGATGATGGAAACGAGGAGGTTCTCGAAACGTCAATATAATTATTATCCGGTCTATAAACTGTCCTTCTTTCCTTCCTATTTTTCTCCGGCGATCCCAAAGCGCTACGGGACATGGTCTTCCCGGTGTGAATTGGGACACAGTCTAGGCAGTCGCACAGCGGCCAGTAGAATATGCAGAATGTGACTACTCCTCGGTATTGGGGGTGGGGATGGAAGACGACCTGTGTGCGTGTGAAAAGAGGGGGGGTATCGACAAAGACAAGGAAATCTGGGATGACTATTTTTGGCTTGTAGTGACATTTAAGTCTGTCTTGTTTTAATCAGTTACAATACGCTTTGACACAACTTTGAATAAGACAAACAACACGCACGTGCACTTTTACCTGCTGACGACTTTGTTCTTATTTACTAGTTTGTAACTGTTGGGATACTGCTATTTTCGTTTCCTGGATAGCCTACTCGCTGTGCCCAACTAGTGGGTTAATCCCCAATACTGGTGACCCTATATCGTTCATAGCTCCTTCTGTTTAATCTCTGTGCATAACTATTTCCATTCGGATTAATCATCACTCTAATTTTTATCGATCAGATTATTCATCTAGCCCTTATTTGCTATTCACACTGTCTCACCCTTTCATCCAATACGAGCGCTACCCTTCA